AGATAAGACAATAATCAGGGTGGGGTTTCTCGTGTCATTTCCAAGACTTCATCCTCAAATTCTCTCCCTGAGGGTCCCCACCCTGTCCTCCCACCTAAGCCTGGAATGAGGAAGCACTGGCCTGTGGGGACCCCGGTCTTCAGGCTCCCAAACCTGGCTGCGTCTGGCTGCCCCTGACCTGGCCCTGTGAACACCCAGGTGTCCCTGGGTTATGACTCAGTGTCTGTCTGCTGGCTGATCTCAACACGGGCTTTGAGGAAGGGGAAAGGGTAGTTTCTGAGACAGGATAGTGACTCAGGGGCCCAGGGTTGGGGCCTCAAAAGTGCCTTTGTTGGCCAGGGTTCAGGAATCCAGAGAAACTGGTCAAGGGGAGGCCCCAGTGAGGAAAACCCCTCCCTCTGCCCCCGCCCCTCCACCAGAGCCATATAACTGCTCAACCCGTCCGGGAGAGAGAGCGCACTGGCAGCTGTTGGCAGGAAGGAACTGGTCTGCTCACACCTGCTGGGTTGTGCATCAGGACTCTCGGAGCAAAGGAGCTCTCTGCGAAGGTCAAGGCCGTCCCCAGCGCTTGGAATCCTACAGTCCCCACAGCCGGATCCCTGAAGCCTTCCAGGTCCTCGACCTCCGCGCACGCTGAGCGATGGCCTCCATGGGGCTGCAGGTGGCGGGCATCGCGCTGGCCGTGCTGGGCTGGCTGGCCGCCATGCTGTGCTGCGCGCTGCCCATGTGGCGCGTAACGGCCTTCATCGGCAGCAACATCGTCACGTCGCAGACCATCTGGGAGGGCCTGTGGATGAACTGCGTGGTGCAGAGCACCGGCCAGATGCAGTGCAAGGTGTACGACTCGCTGCTGGCGCTGCCGCAGGACCTGCAGGCGGCCCGCGCCCTGGTCATCATCTGCATCATCGTGGCCGCGCTGGGCGTGCTGCTGTCCGTGGTGGGCGGCAAGTGCACCAACTGCCTGGAGGACGAGAGCGCCAAGGCCAAGACCATGATCGTGGCGGGCGTGGTGTTCCTGCTGGCCGGCCTGCTGGTGATAGTGCCCACGTCCTGGACGGCCCACAACATCATCCAAGACTTCTACAACCCTCTGGTGGCCTCCGGGCAGAAGCGGGAGATGGGCGCCTCCCTCTACATCGGCTGGGCCGCCTCGGGCCTCCTGCTGCTTGGCGGGGGGCTGCTCTGCTGTAACTGCCCACCCCGCACAGACAAGCCTTACTCCGCCAAGTATTCTGCCGCCCGCTCTGCCGCCACCAGCAACTACGTGTAAGGTGCCACGGCTCCGCTCTGTCCCTCTTGCCTTTGTTCTTCCCTGGACTGAGCTCAGCGCAGGCTGTGACCCCAGGAGGGCCCTGCCGTGGGCCACTGGCTGCTGGGGGCTGGGGACTGGGCAAACAGAGACTGAGCTAGGTAGGAGGGCAGCAGCCTTCAACCTCTCCGGCCCACTTGGACACCTTCCCAAGGCCGCCTCCTGCTAACAAAGACAGATGCCACCCTGCTCCGTATATTGCGGAGGGACGGAGGTGACAGGGTGTGGTGGTGGAGTGGGGAGCTGGCTCCTGCTGGCCACTTTGGGCTCTGCCCGCATCGGCGTTGGCCACTGTCCCCATTGACAGCTTCCCCACCCTGTCTGCCTGCATCTCCCGACACTCCAGCTCTCTCCCTGGTGTCTCCTCCGTTCAGGGGCAGGCCTTGATGTCACCTCTGAGACTGTGGCTTGCTCACCCAAACCCGCACCCAGGAGTACGGCTGAGGCCTCGCCACCCACCTGCCTGGGCAGTGCAGAGTGGATGGACGGGTTTGGAGGGGAGGGGTGAAGGCAATGTAAACAGGTTTGGGCAGTGGTGGGGGAGGGGGCCCAGCTCTGCGGCCTCAGGACTCTGCTTCACCGGCTTCAGCCCAGGGCCCCTGGGCCTCTAGAGACTGATCCCCTCTGAGTCCTCTGCCCCTGCCAAGGACACTAACCAGCCTGGGAGGGTGGCAGGGAGGAGGGGACGGCTTCACCCTCAGAAGTCCCAGGGTTTTTCCTCCGCCTTCTTTGTCTTTTCTGTTTTGTAATTTAAGAAGATCTATTCACCACTGTAATTATTATTATTTTCTACAATAAACGGGACCTGTGCACAGGAATAAGTTGTATTGTCTCCGATTTCTGCTGCGGAGGTGGGTGGGGCAGGGCTGGAGGCCTGGGCAGGGGGTCGGTGAGGAGCAGGACCACTGGGCTGTGGCCGGGACATGAGCACGTACGAGATTCAGGGAATGGTGAGAAATGGAAGCTGGGCCGGGCGTGGTGGTGTGCACCTGTGATCCCCGCACTTTGAAAGGTGGAGGTGGGAGGATCGCTTGAGGCGAGAGTCTGAGACCAGCCTGGGCGACACAGTGGCCCCATCCCTACAAAAAGTTAAAAACATGAGCTGGGCGTGCTGCCTGTAATCCCTGTACTTGGGAGGTCGAGGTAGGAGGTTGGCTTGAGCCCAGGAGTTTGAGGCTGCAGTGAGCGTTGATGACGTCACTGCACTCCAGCCTGAGTGACAAGATGGAGAACTTATGTCTTAAAGAAAAAAAATCAAAATGGGCCTCCAAGGTATCAACTTAAGAAAAAAATTGAAAACAAAAAAAAAAAGAAGAAAAAAAAGAAAGAAAGAAATTGAAATGGGCCTCCACAGTATCACCTAAAATTAAAAAAAAAAAAAAAACAAAAACGATGAAATGGGCCCCCAAGCTATCACCTAAAAAAAAATTGAGGCCAGGTGCGGTGGCTCACGCCTGTAATCCCAGCACTTTGGGAGGCTGAGGCAAGTAGATCTCAAGGTCAGGTAAGTGAGACCAGCCAGACCAACATGGTGAAACCCCATCTCTACTAAAAATACAAAAATTAGCTGGGCGTGGTGGTGGGCACCTGTAGTCCCAGCTCACCCAAGGCTGAGGCAGGAGAATCGCTTGAACCCGGGAGGCGGAGGCTGAGTCGAGATCATGATACTGCACTCCAGCCTGGGGGACAGAGCAAGACAGGGTCTCAAAAAAAAAAAACAACATTGAAATGGGCCCCCAAGGCATCACCTTGTCCAGGTGGGGGGCCCTTCTTTGGTTGGAGGGTAAACTCATATACAGGAAACAGTGTATGCCCGGAACCCCAGGGAAGGTTTGGGTACCCCAGAAGGGAAGCCACATGGGCTCCCAGCTCCGAGGTATGGGCCACCTGCCGCCCCACCCCGCTGTTCCAGCTTTGTCTGGGAAGCCAGGCTGGTCTGTTCCTCTTTGCTGGGTCACCCGACAGGTCCCACTTCCCAGCCTTTGCACAGGCTGTCCCTGCGCCTGGAATGTCCCTTTTCCCTTCTCCACCCTTCTGGATCCTGCTTGTCCTGAAAGCCCAGCTCAGAGCCTCCTTCCCCATGAAGTCTTCCTACTGTCTCTGACGGAGAAATTATCATCAGCCCTGTTGACACCCCCCGAGGTGCTGCTGGTCACCAAATGCCTTTCACCTGAAGGGCAGCCTCCAAGCCACACCCAGAGCTTGGCATTCCGATCCCTTGATGGATGAGGAAATGGAGTGTGGCCCAGCCCCAGACCTGCAGCTTGGGACTTTGGGCTCTGAATTTGGGTGGGGGAGAGTCCAGGACAGGGCTTGGGTCTCAGCAACCCCTTGGACTTGGCCTCGGCTTTGGGTCCCTGCTCTGACACCGTTGTGCATGTTCCAAGGTGGCTCAGGCTTCATTTTCTTGTCAATAAGTTAGAGGTGAACGGGCCCAGCACCCTGGAAGGAGCGACCCAATACCTGGCTCAGGGAGGGCTCGGGAGGGCTCATGGGCTCTCTGTCACTTCTTTTTTTCTCTGTCACTTTTTTTTTTTTTTTAGAGAGTTTTTGCTCTGCCGTTCAGGCTGGAGTGCAGTGGCACGATCTTGGCTCGCTGCAACCTCCGCCCCCCAGGTTCAAGCGATTCTTCTGCCTCAGCCTTCCGAGTAGCTGGGATTACAGGCATCTGCCACCATGCCTGGCAAATTTTTGTATTTTTAGTAGAGATGGGGTTTCATCATGTTGGTAAGGCTGGTCTCAAACTCCTGACCTTGTCATCTTCCCTCCTCGTCCTCCCAAAGTCCTGGGATTACAGGCGCGAGCCACTGAACCAGGCCTCTTCTCTTTTTTTACAGTCAGGGTCTTGTCCCCAGGCTGGAGTGCAGTGGCATGATCAAAGCTCCCCGTAACCACTTCCATGACCTCCAGGCTCAAGCAATCCTCCCCCCTCAGCCTCCTGAGTAGCTGGGACTACAGGCATGCACCCATGGCACCTGGCCAATTTTTACAATTTCTTTTTTTTTTTTGAGAGTCCTGCTCTGTCACCCAGTGGCATGAACTCAGCTCACTGCAACCTCCACCCCCACTGGGTTCGAGCAATTCTCCTGTAAGTCCCCCAGGTAGCTGGAATTACAGGCATGTGCTACCATGCCCAACTAATTTTTGTGTTTTTAGTAGAAACAGTGTTTTACCATGTTGGCCAGGCTGGTCTTGAACTCTTGACCTCAAGTGATCCTCCCGCCTCGGCCTCCCAAAGTGCTAATTTTTATAATTTTTCTTTGAGATGGGGGGGGTCTCACTATGTTGCCCAGCCTGGTCTCGAACTCCTGATCTCAAGTAATCCTCCTGTGTTGGCCTCCCAAAGTGTTGGGATTATAGGCTTCAGCCACCACAACCTGCCACTTCTTGACTCTGGAACCCACAGGAACTGATGTCACTCTTTTTTTTTTTTTTTGAGATGGAGTTTTGCTCTTGTTGCCCAGGCTGGAGTGCAATGGCATGATCTCGGCTCACTGCAACCTCTATTTCCCGGGTTCAAGAAATCCTCCTGCCTCAGCCTCCCGAGTAGCTGGGATTACAGGCATGCGCCACCACCATGCCAGGCTGATTTTGTATTTTTTTAAGTAGAGACGGGGTTTCTCCATGTTGGTCAGGCTGGTCTGGAACTTCTGACCTCAGGTGATCCGCCCGCCTTGGCCTCCCAAAGTGCTGAGATTACAGGTGTGAGCCACCGCGCCCTGCCTGATGTCACGGTTTTCTGAGGCTAGAGAACTGCAGAGCTGTGAGTCCTTTTGCCCCTTCTGGGAGCTCATTTAATAGGCAGGGCATTTCTGAGGGGCAGGGTTGGTTTGGCGGTCCCATTTTACAAGGGAGGCAGAGGAGGCCCATCAGAAGGGCCCAGCTAAGGCCACATAGAATCAGGGGACAGCTGGGGGCTAGGGGCTGGATCTCACTTCCTCAGCCTGGGTTGCCTTCTGCTTTCGGTACAGGTAGACGATGCCGGAGATGAAGCCATCCTTGGCAGAGGTGCCAGGTACCACCTCCAGCTCGGAGGTAGCCAGCTCCCAGCGGTCCACAGGCAGGGCCACCAGGCGCTCCCACGCCCCAGCCTGCTCCAAGCTGTCCAAGGTGGCCTCCAGAGCCTCCTTGTATTGAAGGTTAGACGAGTTGGTCCTGGTGGTCAGACACACCAGCCCACCTGGGGGAGAGGGGCAGGTGAGGTGGGGGAGGGGCAGGTGAGGTGGGGGAGGGGCAGGGGCCACAGTCCCGGGCCATCTCTGCTGGTGAGGGTTGTCCCTTCAAGGTAAGAAATTCTTCCAGCTTCCTTCCCAGGGCAGTCTTTCTGTGTCTTTTACATCAGGAATTCCTTTTTTTTTTCTTTTTCTTTCTTTTTTTTTTTTGAGACCAAGTCTTGCTCTGTCACCCAGGCTGGAGTGCAGTGGCAAGCTCTCAGCTCACTGCAACCTCTGCCTCCCAGGTTCAAGTGATTTTCCTGCCTCAGCCTCCCGAGCAGCTGGGATTACAGGCACCCACCATCATGTGTGGCTATTTTGTATTTCTAGTAGAGATGGAGTTTTGCCATGTTGGCCAGGCTGGTCTTGAACTCCTGGCCTCAGGTGATCTGTCTGCCTCAGCCTCCCAAAGTGCCTGGATTACAGGCATGAGCCACCATGCCCAGCCCTTTTGTTTTCCTTTCTTGAGAGAGGATCTCATCCTATTTCCCAGGCTGGAGTGCGGTGGCATAACCATAGCTCACTGTAGCCTTCAACTCCTGGGCTCAAGCAATCCTCCCACCTCAGCCTCCTGAGTAGCTGGGACCACAGGTGCTCACCACCATGCCTGGCTAATTAAAAAAATTTTTTTTGTAGAGATGGGGTCTTGCTATGTTGCCCAGGCTGCTCTTGAACTCCTGGGCTCAAGTGATCCTCCTGCCTTGGCCTCCCAAAATGCTGGGATTATAGGTGTGTACTACCGTGCCTGGCAGGGAATTCTTAACTTCATCTCCTGGACTGAGAAGACACCCTCCTCTCCACTCACCCACACCTCTGCCGGAGGACCTGACTGTCTGAATGGACAGGAAGAAAGCCCCCACGTGTGCTGTGCATCTTGGGCTAGCCCCTTCACCTCTCTGGGCCTCAGTTTCCCACCTGGCATGGAGAGGATGACTATCTTATATCACAGGAAGGCTGGTGTGTGGTAAAGTGGCCTACAGTAAGTGCTGGCTAAATGGCCTTGTCACCTCAGGTCCAGGCACCTATAGTGTGCCCATGGTGGCCTCAGGTACACTGAGAAAGAGAGATGGGGAAGACCCAATGACTGGTCTGGGAAGGCTTCCTGGAGGAGGGAGTAAGGAGAAGCAGGGCGCTGCTGGTAGAAGGGAGCACGGTGAGAGGAGAGGCTCCGGAGCAGGGGAGACTGTCCCCCATGGGCAGGCAACGGGGCTTGGCCGGCTGAAGGGCTTAGCAGGCACACGTTGGGCTAGGAAGTCTGGTCCTGGCTGCTTCGCACAGTACAAAGTTCCTGTCTTCCTGGGCCCAACTTTGACCTTTCCAGCTGACCCCATCCGTGTCCCTGCATTTGTCAGCCTTCAAGACTCCCCAGAGGCCGATGCCTGCCCAGACCTGCCCAGGCTTAGCCACAGCCTCTGCTGGGCCTGGCAGGGGATGCAGAGAGGGGAGGGAGAGGAAGCGTTTTCACCTCTCCGATTTCCTGTTCTGCAGCCAGCCAGCGCCTCCTGGTTCTCACGCTCAGCCCCTCTCCTTTCTGTCTTAGGCTGCGCGCGACGTGGATTCCTCACCTGGTCTCTGAAATGCCTCTCTAAATTCTTGGAGTAGGGCCGTGCACAGGGGCTCACGCCTGTAATCCCAGCACTTTGGGAGACCAAGGCGGGAAGATCACTTGAGGTCAGGAGCTCAAGACCAGACTGGCCAAAATGGTGAAACCCTGTCTCTACTAAAAATACAAAAAATGGCCGGGTATGGTGGTGGACTCCTGTAATTCCAGCTACTTGGGAGCCTGACGCAGGAGAATCGCTCGAACCTGGGAGGTGAATGTTGCAGTGAGCCGAGATTTCGCCACTGCACTCCAGCCTCGGGGACAGAGTGAGACTCTGTCTCAAATTAAATAAATAAATTCTCGGAGCAATGATCACTCACGACTTTTGTGGATCCACCTCCAACCAGGCCCTGTCCTCTCTGGCTCCTTCCCGGGCCACAGTGGGTTTGAGATCAAGGCCCAGAGGGCAGGGTCTGAGCCTTCTGCCCAGAGCAGAGGGAAGCACAGAGCCGAGCAAGAACACAGCAGGAGATGGAGATACACCTGCTTCCACAGCAGCACACTGTGCAGTTTACAAAGTGCCCACAGCAATCATCTCCCCAGAGCAGCCCCATTTCCCAGATGAGGAAACTGAGACCAGGAAAGAGAATGAGATGCCTGAAGGCAATCCATGAAGGAGTGAGGAAGCGGGGAGAGGAGGGAACAGAACCGAGACCTCACTGTGGGCCAGGACCGAAGCAAAGGTCTTAGAGACAGGATGTCACCCGATTCTTACTGCAGTGCTATTATAACACCTGGCTCCCAGGCCGGGAAATGAAGGCTGCAGGAGGGTGGAGTTGCTCCTGGTTGCCCTTGGATAAGAGCCGAGCTGGCCACCTGTCTGCCCCGCTGTTTGCCTGGGTCCACTGTTGGTGGCTGGATGTTAGGCTAGGCTGTGTGTGACCCTGGGCAGGACGCTGCCCCTCGCTTGGCCTGAGGGGCTCTGGGGCCTGTGTCTGTGCTGAGCAGAGGGGAAGGAGTATGGTGGCGGGGATGGAGGGTGCTTGGCTGGGCTGCTCCTCACCTGGCTTGGTGACACGTAGGAGCTCAGGTATCGCACTATAGGGCACCTGGCCATCACTGAGAGCACCGACGATCAGCACCGCGTCGAAGGTTCCTGTGTGTGGGGGGAGTGGGGGGCGGGACATGGTGCGATGCTCGGAAGGTGCTTTGTCTGTGGTGTGGCCTCAGAGCACCCTAGGGGAGGGACAGAGCTACTGCCCACATCTGCAGGACCCAGGTCCCCTGGAGGATAAGTATGGCCCAGTCCTGGGCTGCAATCAGATTGTGGGGTGCAGGGTTGAGTGAGGGGTGGGGGTTCAGTGTGGGAGGGGGACGGAGGATAGGCAAGGGAAAGGGCTCTGTGAGGGTGGGCCTTGGGGTGTTGGGGTGGGAGAGGAAGTACCTTCGGGGCTGGGCAGAGGCTCCTGGCCCAGGGTGCAGAGGCTGAGGCGCTGATAGAGGCCGCGGGCCCGGGCCTGGTTCAGCATCTCTGGGCTCCCATCCGCCCCATGCAGCTGGAGGAAGCCCCGGGCCTGCAGCTGGGGCGGGATTGGGAGACTGAGTCACGGTTCACACCTGCCACTTCCCCGCTGGGTCCCTGCACCTTGGGAGGGCAGTGGACTCTGCACTGAATGTGGCCCATGTGTTTGTTTTTTAAATTTTTTGAGACAAGGTCTCTCTCTGTCGCCCAAACTGGAATGCAGTGGCGTGATCATAGCTCACTGCAGCCTTGAACTTCTGGGCTCAAGTAATCCTCCCACCTCAGCCTCCCATGTAGCTGGGATTACAGGCCTGCACCACCCTGCCTGGCTAATTTTTAAATTTGTTTGTAGGGACAGGGATCTTGCTATGTTGCCCAGGCTGGCCTCAAATTATCCTCCTGCCTCAGCCCCACAAAGTGCTGGGATCATAGTTGGGAGCCACCGTGCCTGGTCCCGTCTCATGCATTTGGAACGGTGAGTCAGGTGTGGGGGAGGGTTCTGGGGCCACAGGCAGGGGGAGATTTGAGGAAGTGTGGGGCTAAGGAGCAGGCAGGGGATCTGGAAGAGCCTCACCTCGGCAGCCACTAGGCCTGTGCCACAGGCCACGTCCAGGATCAGGGCACTGTGGGGCAGGCCTGGAAAGGCTTGTGTGAGGCAGTCCACTGCAAGGCGGGGGGCGCGGTACTGCAGGGTGGCCACATCCTGGGGAAAGAGTGCCGCGCCTACAACACCGGTGCCCCAGGGTTTGGGGGATCTCCCTTGTGGGGTGGTCTTGGAATCTGCCAGGCTAAGCTGTGTGTGTCGGGGGATCAAGACTGGCTGGGGCTGGCATGAGTGGATGCCCAGGCATGAGGTGGTTCCCCTTGCTAAGGGGCCAGGACTGGAGAGTTAGCTGCCAGCCCACTGTATGGTGGATCAGCCCTCCAGGGACCTTCCCTCCTGGTCAAGGCAGCTCTCTCTGCTGAGTCCACAGTGACTTGTCTCTCTCCTTTTTTTGGGGGGGGTGGTGCGTGGGGGATGGAGTCTTGGTCTTTCGCCCAGGCTGGAGTCAGTGGTGTGATCTTGGCTCACTGCAACCTCCACCTCCCAGGTTCAAGTGATTCTCCTGCCTCAGCCTCCTAAGTAGCTGGGACTACAGGTGTGCATCACCACGCCCAGATAATTTTTGTGCTTTTAGTAGAGATGGGGTTTCACCATGCTGGCCAGGCTGGTCTCGAACTCCTGACCTCAGGTGATCCACCTGCCTCCGCCTCCCAAAGTGCTGGGATTACAGGTGTGAGCCACCGCACCCAGCCACTCTTTTTTTTTATACTGAGATGGAGTCTCCCTCTGTCGCTGGTGCTCCGCATCCTAGATTCAAGCCATTCTCCTGCATTGGCCTCCCAAGTAGCTGGGATTACCAGGCGCCCGCCACCACACCTGGCTAATTTTGGTATATTTAGTAGAGACAGGGTTTCACCATGTTGGCCTCAAACTCCTGACCTCAGGTGATCTGCCCGCCTCGGCCTCCCAAAGGGCTTGGGATTACAGGCGTGAGCCTGCGAGCCGGCCCCACAGTGACTTCTCAATAGCACCTCCTCCAGGCAGCCCCCAGGGAAGTGATGGCCCCTGATGGGACTGCCAATCCTGAGCTGTGAGGCGGGTCCGGAAGGGGCAGCACCGTAGGGTTCTTAACCAGGCCTCAGGGGTTCAAGGCTGATTCCTCACTCTACAGGTAGAGAAATGGAGGCTGGTCTTGGGGAGGCAAGGACCCAGATGGGTTTACCTGGTCGTAATCCGGAGCCCAGCGGTCATAGAAGCGGAGCTTCTGGGCCAGGTCGGGGATGCCATGAGCAGCCCCTACACGTGCCAGCACCTCGGGCAGGCTCCCAGCCTCCTCCTGGGCCATGCTCCTGCGGGGTCACGGCTGCCCTGTCTTGAGGTCCACCTCAATCGCCCAACCCCTCCTTTCCCCCTCCCACCGCAGAGGAGGCTGCCAGGCCACCAGCGCGACCCCTAATCCGACCCCTACCCCAGAGGGGGACACGGAACGCAGAGAGGGCGCGTTTGGACATTTACACTCGGGCTGCAGGGCTGGGGGAAGGGCAGGGTGGGGGAGAGGGGCGCCCCGCAGTTGGAGGAAGGCCCTGCTCTTTCCCGCCCCCTGACGGGGAGAGGGTCGGAAGTGGGCGACATGCGGAGCGAAAGGGTCTCGAAGGAGGCCTGAGTCTGAACTCACCGCCAATGGAGCGCGCCTGGCGTGGGTGGGCAGCGGGACTCGGGGCGGGGCCTGAACGCCGAGGCCGGCCACGCCCTCACCGCCTGCCCGCAACGATTGGCTTTCCGCTAAGAGAAACTAGCCAATCAAAGGAAGGCTCTGGCAGTCCGCCCCCTACCGTCAGCCAATGAGCTCAAGGCTTGTGGCCCTCCTCCAGCCTGGGAAGAGCCGGGACTGCTGAGACATTTTCCTGCTGTGCTGGTTTAGGGGCTTCTCCGGGGTCTGGCCCCGGCCTCCCCCTCCGCTGTCCCACTCCGACTGCCCTCCTGCCTCCCGAAGCCCTTTATGCTTCCTAAAAGCATGAGGCTTGTAGGCACTGGGGAGTCCCTGAATTCTTACGGGCAGGCGAGGGGCCTAGGATTCACCCTCTCTTTTATATTGTATTTGTATTTATTTATTTTGCTTTGTTTTGTTTTACGAGACAACGTCTCACTCTGTTGCCCAGGCTCGAGTGCAGCGGCTCAACCATATCTCACTGCAGCCTTGAACTCTTGGACTCAAGCCATCCTCCTGCCTCAGCCTCCCGAGTAACTGGAACAACAGATGCACACCACCTTGCCAGGCTAATTTTTTTTTTTTTTTTTTAAATTTTTGTAGTTTTTGTAGAGACAAAAAATGTTGTCCAGGCTGGTCTTAAACTCCTAGCCTCAAGCGATTCTCCCGCCTTGGCCTCCCAAAGTGATGAGATTATAGGTGTGAGCCTCCACAACCGGCCAGCCTTCATTTTTTAGAACACGTCTTGGGTCTAGGCGATGCTGTCCGGTAAAACTCGCCAAGGCCTAGGCCACAGTGTCCGGTAGAACTTCTTGAGATGATGTAAATGTCCTATAATCCGTGCTGTTCCATAGGGTAGTCACTAGGCATGTGTGGCTGTTGAGTATTTGAAATGTAGCCAGCGTGACTGAGGAACGGAATGTTAAATTTTATTTTAATAAGTTAAGTAGCCACCTGTGGCTAGTGGCTACTGTACTGAGCAGCAGCGGGAGGCGGAGGTTGCGGTGAACCGAGTTCGAGCCACTGCACTCCAGCCTGGAGACAGAGTGAGCCTCCATCTAAAAAAAAAGAAAAGAAAGAAAAGAAAAAATTCTCAGTCTACCTGGGACCTTCTGAATCAGAATTAGATTGCTGGGGATGGGACCCAGAGCTTCTGTGTTTCTACAAACTCTTCAGGGGATTTCTAGGCAGCTGAAGGTTCAGAAGCACTGGTCTAGAGGACCGGTGTAGGAATCAAGGGCTTGGGCAGGCAGAATTTGGCAGGCTGTCCAAACTGTCGGGGTGGGAGGTAATGGTTACATGACTTTGGTAGAAGTCATTGACAGGGGAGAGGAGTGGATGAACTTTACAGATGTTTAGGGGTGGAAGTGTCAGAGATACTTGAACCAGAGTAACTCCATCTTGAATAGCGGCTGAGTGTAATAAGACTGAGACCTGCTGGACTGCATTTCCAGATTTTTTTTTGGTGGGGGATGGAATCTCGCTCTGTTGCCCAGGCTGTAGTGCAGTGGCGCAATCTCAGCTCACTGCAACCTCCACCTCCTGCCTTAGCCTTCTGAGTAGCTGGGATTACAGGGGAAAAGCTTCTCAGAAACTCAAAGAATGCGACCATTTGTCTCTCACATTCCTATGACTTGCAGCCCCTCCCTGCCTCGAGTTGTCACCACGTTTCTGGATGAAACCAGTGTCCTTTTTACATATATTGATTGATGTCTCATGTCTATTAAAATGTATAAAACCAAGCTGTGCCCCGACCCCTTGGGTCAGGACCTCCTGAGACCGTGTCATAGGCCTGTGTCCTCAACCTTGCAAAATAAACTTTTTAAATTAACTGAGATCTGTCTCATATTTCTGGGCTTACAGGGTGAAGAGTAGAATGAACCCTGTAGTGTTGGAAGAGAGTGGGAGACATTAAACTCATGGGTTTTGACATAAATAAATGGAAAGATGTAGGAATAGACATAAATGTACGTGTGTGTATTTGTGAATTTCCCAGCTTTGTCTGCCAAAATGACCTAAACACCATAACACTTCAGTAGCAATCACCACACTAAGATTCCAGATCTTGGTTCTAAAAATGCATTCTTGTCAGGTGTGGTGGCTCACATGTGTAATTCTGGCACTTTGGGAGGTCGAAGCCGGTGGGTCACCTGAGGCCAGGAGTTCAAGACCAGCCTGGCCAACATGATGAAACCCTGTCTCTCCTAAAAGTATAAAAATTAGCCGGGCATGGTGGCGGGCACCTGTAATCCAGCTACTCGGGAGGCTGAGACAGGAGAATTGCTTGAATCCGGGAGGTGGAGTTACAGTGAGCCGAGATCAAGAGATTGCACTCCAGCCCGGGTGACAGGAATTTGTCTTTTTTTTTTTTTTTTTTTTTTTTAAAGCATTTTGGGCAAAAAGGAACCAGAGCTTCTTAGAGAAACAACTGATTAAAATGACTGAAATTTTTGAGGCAGGGAAAGTATGAGATGTGCCTGAAATATTTTGAAAGATCTCAAACTGCAAGTCCTTTCCAGTCCTCCTCCCTGTTCCAGGAACCTGTTCTAGCTTTGCGGCTGGAAGGCCTTTCTCTGACTCATCAAGTTTTATTTTTCTTCCTCTAATTCTTCAATCCCCTCAAGTCTTACGTTTTTGAAGCCTCGCAGCCTTTTCTATGTCTTTTGCTGAACATGACCCGCTCACTCGGGGCAGTGAATATCAAGCTTTCCCTCCACCGAGTGCAGCTGCTGCCAAAGCGAAGGGGTGAGCTTGGGGGGGCTGGGGAAGAGAAAGTAGTTTGGGGTGGGAGACGAATTAAAAGGATCCGTCGGCTGGGTGCAGTGGCTCACACCTGTAATCCCAGCACTTTGGGAGGCTGAGGCTGGAGGATCGCTTAAGCCCAGGAGTTTAAGACCAGCCTGGGCAACATAGTAAGACCCCAGTTCTACAAAAAAATTCAAAAATTAGCTGGGTGTGGTAGTACGTGCCTGTGGTTCCAGCTACTCAGGAGGCTGAGATGGATCGCTTGAACCCAGGAGGTTGAAGTTGCAGTGAGTTAGGATGTGCCACTGCACTCTAGCCCGAGCAGCAGGGCAGACCCTGTCTAAAAAACACAACAAAGCGAACCCCAAGTGGTTTAAATATTAGGGGTTTCCTTCCTTCCTCCCTTCCTTCCCCCTTCCTCCCTCCCTCCCTCCCTTCCTTCTGACGGAGTTTTGCTAAGTAGTTTAAATATTAAGGGGTTTCCTTCCTTCCTTCCTTCCTTCCTTCCTTCCTTCCTTCCTTCCTTCCTCCCTCCCTCCCTCCCTTCCTTCCGATGAGTTTTGCTAAGTGGTTTAAATATTAAGGGGTTTCTTTCCTTCCTTCCTTCCTTCCTTCCTCCCCCCCCCCCTCCCCCTCCCTTCCTTCCTTCCTTCCTCCCTCCCTCCCTCCCTCCCTCTCTCTCTCGTTCTCTCCTTCTCTTTCTTTTCTTTTCTTTCCTTTTTTGAGACAGAGTTTTGCTCTTGTTGCCCAGTTTGGAGTGTAATGGTTATCTCGGCTCACCACAACCTCTGCCTCCCAGGTTCAAGCGATTCTCCTGCCTCAGCCTCCCACGTAGCTGGGATTACAGGCACGCGCCACCACATCCAGCTAATTTTGTATTTTTAGTAGAGACGGGGTTTCACCATGTTGGTCAGGCTGGTCTCGAGCTCCCGACCTCAGTTGGTCCGCCTGCCTTGGCCTCCCAAAGTGCTGGGATGACAGGCATGAGCCACTGCAGCCAGCCTATGGATGCGCTTTCTTCTTCTTCTTCTTCTTTTTTTTTTTTTTTGAGATGGAGTTTCACTCTTGTTGCCCAGGCTGCAGTACAATGGTGTGATCTTGGCTCACCGCAGCCTCCACCTCCCGGGTTCAAATGATTCTCCTGCCTCAGCCTCCTGAGTAGCTGGGATTGCGCCTGCCAACATGCCCGGCTAATTTTGTATTTTTGGTAGAGACGGGGTTTCTCCATGTTAACCTGGCTGGTCTAGAGCTCCTGACCTCAGGTGATCCGCCCGCCCCGGCCTCCCAAAGTGCTGGGATGATGGGCGTGAGCCACCTCGCCCGAACTATGGACGTGCTTTCTGACCTGAAATGTGCAATGGGAAGTTGCGGCTTCAGATTTGCGTTTTACAAAGATGGCTCCAGAAGGCAGCGGGGAGAGCGGGCTGGGTGATCCCCAAGCTCTGAGACTGTTGCAATGACTTGGCAAGAGCTGGAGTGACAAGAGTCAGGGGCTGCTGAGGAGGGGCGACCTTGGTGCCGATGGAGTGTGAGGCTGTTGAGGACCAGATGGCAAATTCCCTTCCTTGGAGTCTTCCCCCCACCTCACCTTCTTCACCGCCTCCCCCTCACTCTTCTGCCTACCTCTAAGCTTAGGAGCGGCCCCCGGCTCCGTCCTGGGTCTCCTTCCTTCTCTGCCTACGCCCACTTCCTAGGTGATCTCATCTAGTCCCATGGTTTTAAATACTATTTATGTGTGGGTGACTCCCAAATCGATGACTCCTAGTCTTGACTCTTCCCTGAACTCTGGACTTGTTCACCCAGCCATGAAACTGACATCTCCTTGGAGGCCACAGGTCTCTTGCTGGCAGGGAGCCCAGACCCGAGAGCAATTCTTTCCACTCCCAAATCTGCTCCTCCTCAGGGCCCATCTCTGCAAATGCCCCTGGACCACCTTGCACCCAGGGGCTCAGCTCAAGCTGTTTTTCTCCCCTCCCATGCCCTGGGAGCTCAAACTATACCAGCCAGGCACGGCCGCTCATTCCTGCAATCCCAGCACTTTGGGAGGCCAAGGTGGATGGATCACCTGAGATCAGGAGTTCGAGACCAGCTTGGCCAACATGGTGAGGCTCCTGTCTCTACTAAAAATACAAAAATTAGCTGGGCATGGTGGCAGGCACCTGTAGTCCCAGCTACGTTGGCAGCTGAGGGAGGAGAATTGCTTGAACCTGGGAGGCAGAGGTTGCAGTGAGCTGAGATCACCCCACTGCACTCCAGCCTGGGTGACAGAGTGAGACCATGTCTGGAGAAAAAAAAAGAAAAAGAAAAGAAGAAAATCTCAAACATACAAAAGAAGAGTCTAGTGTAATAACTACCCATGTATTCGGTAATGAGTGTTTCAATAGTTAACAAACTGTGTCCAGCTGGAGTGGTGTTTTCTCAGTACTCATTTGATGAGTTGACTCCTCTGCTTCAAACCTAAAGTCCAACTTCTTTTCTCTCCTGATCTGTACCATCTCTTTTCCTCGCCCCGCCACGGCGGCTTCTGTTCCTGGAAAGTGCCAAGGCGATCACAGGGCCTTTGCACTGTTTTCCAGCTAGGAAAATCCTCCTACCTTAGCCTCCCAAGTAGCTGGGACCACAGGTGTGCACCACCACACCCAGCTAATTTTTGATAGTTTTGGTAGAAGTAGGGCTTTGCCATGTTGCCCACTCTTCAACTCTGCTTCAGTGGTTTTTTTTTTTTTTTTTTTTTTTTTTTGAGATGGAGTCTTGCTCTGTTGCCCAGGCTGGAGTGCAGTGGTGTGATCTCTGCTCACTGCAACCTCTGCCCACCCCCGGTTCAAGCAATTCTCCTGGCTCAGCCTCCTAGGTAGCCGGGATTACAGGTGCCCACTACCACGCCCCGCTGATTTTTGTATTTTTGGTAGAGACGGGGTTTCACATTGTCCAGGCTGGTCTCGAACTCCTGATCTCAAGTGATCTGCCCACCTGCGCCTCCCAAAGTGCTGGGACGACAGGCGTGAGCCCCCGCACCTGCGGTTGCTGAGCTCTTTCTATGTGGATGCATGTGGACTGCGTTCATTTTGCTCATTTTACTGCCATTTAGTTATCCCTCAAGCCTCAAGCGGCCGCACCTGGTTGACTTACCCCTTTCCCGGGGATAGGATATAATGTTGCCATGCACGCGTCTCTTTGTTCATGCGTGGATGTTTCTGGAAGGAGTGCTTTAACCCACTGGAGGGTAGTGAAAACAATCGAGCCTGTTGTGAAAGAGAATGAGTAGAAATTAGAGCACATTGCATGTAGTAAGAGTAATTATTGTTTTGTTAGGGTCTTGCTTCAGTTTCACATGTGCGTTTAATGAGCAGCTTTGTACAATACTTTGTTTTTCTTTTTTATTTTTATTTTTACCAGAGGAAGCAGCTTTTATTGATGAGTTATCTCCAGAAACCAAAGACTGTGTACTCACTTTCAGTTACGCCCTATGCCTCCAGGATGGCATGTTGCTCCACCTGGGGCGGATATAAATTGCCTCTAGATTTTCCAAAGCCCAGTCTTTCCCTTCCCGTGCAGCCTTAGAAACTAAGTAGGACGCTGTTTGGTGTTTGCTTCTCCCCAGCAATGCCTGCTGCAGCTACTTAGTAACAACTAGAGGTGGAGTGTGTTTGGGACGCAGCTGGGTGAGTTAAGCGTGATGCACAGGAAAACAGGATCATAGCCGATCAAAGGTCCCTCTGCCCTGCCTCAGTGGCTTGATCCTTCATTAGTAGCATTTCTCTTTGTGTTCGATGATGCCCTTCTGAATCAGATCAGGGATTTCCACTGCCAGCCATGGACCCAGCCCCAGAGCCATGAGATGAGCTAGTCCAAATTTGGGCACGTTCCTGGCCCACAAAGGTTTGAAGTGATCCGTCAGGCATATTTTTCCACCCCTGTACATCTTTGCTGTCTTTCCATCAAGCTCAGGGACTGCGATTTCTGGGGCAGTAGTAGGGTATGTGTTAGGAATGTCAGACTCGACTTCAAACTCGTATTTCGAGAGGTCATGGATACACCGGCATTTTCCAAACCACCGAGTCCCTTCCTCGTTGGACTCCAGTCGCAACCAAGGGTTGCCAGCATCCTTGTTGTTCTCCACATGCCAGACAAGGGACTGATATTCCTCCTTCAGTCACTGCACCCAGAACTCCCGATCTCGGGGTCCGGCATTTGTCTTCAGCACCGGGATCTCAGACACAACACGCCATCTTGGACCAGGGCCACTTTTGTTTTTCTTTTTGGAGACAAGGTCTCCTTGCGTTGCCCAGGCTGGCGTGCATGGCGAAATCCTAGCTCCTTACAGTCTCAACCTTCTGAGCTCAAGTGATCCACCTGCCTCAGCCTCCTGAGTGGCTGGGATTGCAGGCATGCACTACTGTGCCAAGCTATTTTTTTTTTTTTTTTTTGGAGCAAGAGTTTTGCTCTTTTTGCCCAGTCTGGAGTGCAATGGCGAGATCTTGGCTCACCGAAACCTCCGCCTCCCAGGTTCAGGCCATTCTTCTCCCTCAGCCTCCTGAGTAGCTGGAATTATAGGCATACACCACCATGCCCAGCTAATTTTTTGTATTTTTAGTAGAGATGGGGTTTCTCCATGCTGGTCAGGCTGGTCTCGAACTCCCGACCTCAGGTGATCCATCCACCTCAGCCTCCCAAAGTGCTGGGATTACAGGCGTGCACCACTGCACCCAGCCTGTTTAATACAATTCTTAGCATGAGTAGCATCCAGAGACTAAAGACCAGCAGGGCACTCCTGAGTCAGGGTACAGGCAGTGTCCGAGGCTCTGGTTATCCTACAAACTCATAAACACATGTGTGCCGTCAACGTTTTTGTTTTTGCAAATGAGGGTGAGATCATATCTCACTGGGGTTTCAATTTGCATTCCTCCCTAATGACTGGTGAGGTTGAATCTCTTGCCACACATTTATCAACTCCTGGAGTTTCCTTTTCTGTGGATTGCTTTTGCTTTTGTATTCCACTGGGTCATTTGATTTTTTCCTTTCCCTATTTTTAACTGACAAGGCACAACCGTATGACATGATGTTGTGATATGTGGATGTGTTGTTGAATGACTAAGCAAGCCATGTGACATATGCGTCACCTCACATATTTACATCATTAATTTGCAGTGAGAACATTAAGAATGTACTCTCTTGGCAACTTTCCTTCCTTCCTCCCTCCCCATCCCTCCCTCCTTCCCTCTCTCCCTCCTTCCATTCCTTCCCTTCCCTTTCCTCCCTTCCCTCTTCCCTTCCCCCTTCCCTTCTCTCCCCTCCCTTTCCCTCCCCTTCCCTTCCTCCCTTCCCCTCCCTTCCCCTCCCCTCTGCCCTTCCCTTTCCCCTTCCCTTCCCCCTTCCCTTCCTTTCCTTTCCCTTCCCCACTCCTTTCCCTTCCCCTCCCCCCTTCCCTCCCCCTCCCTCTCCTTCCTTCCTTCTTCCTTCCCTCCCTCCCTCCCTCCCTCCCTTCTTCCTTCCTTCCTTCCTTCCCTCTTTCTCTTCCTTCCCTCCCTCCCTCCCTTCTTCCTTCCTTCCTTCCCTCCTTCTCTTCCTTCCTTCCCTTCCTCCCTCCCTCCCTCCTTCCTTCCTTCCTTCCCTCCTTCTCTTCCTTCCTTCCCTCCCTCCCTCCCTCTCTCCTTCCTTCCTTCATTCCTTCCTTCCTTCCCTCCTTCCCTCCTTCCTTCCTCCCTCCCTTCTTCCTTCCTCCCTCCCTTCTTCCTTCCTTCCTTCTTTCCTTCCCTCCCTCCCTCCCTCCCTCTCTTCTTCCTTCCTTCCTTCCCTCTCCCTGCCCCCTCTTCCTCCCTCCCACCCGCCTGTCAGGGTCTCAGTCTGTGGTCCGGGCTGGAGTGCAGTCTGCAATCCCCACTCACTGCAACCTCCGCCTTCTGGGCTTAAGCAATCCTCCTACCTCAGCCTTCCAAGTAGCTGGGACTACAGGCAAATATCACCATGCCCGGCTAATTAATAGAGAAAGGGTCCTGAGATGCTGCCCAGTCTGGTCTCCAGCTCCTGAGCTCAAGCAGTCCACCTGCCTTGGCCTCCCAAATTACTGAGCGAGATCGCAGGCATGAACCGCTGCGCCTGGCCAGCAGCTTTCGAGTGTGCAAGAGATCGTTATCCGCTGTAGCTAGTGCGATGTACAACAGACCTCTTGAATTCGCTCCTTCTGGCTAACCGAAATTCCGTGTGGGCCATGTAGTTTTATCTCACTGGTTTGTAGGAGTTCCCTGGATACTGGAGATTCTGGAGAGTTTGTGGGTTGTGAACATTTCTCTCAGCCTGTCACAGCCTTTGCCTTTGCTCAGTGACTTGGGCCAGGACAGTGGTGGTGGCTGATGGTGGCTGTGAGGGGCTCCAGGACTTCTTTCAAAAATATGGTTTATTATTTATTTATTTATTTATTTTGAGACACAGTCTTGCTCTGTCACCCAGGCTGGAGTGCAGTGGTATGATCTCAGCTCACCGCAACCTCCACCTCCCAGGTTCAAGCGATTCTCTTGCCTCAGCCTCCTGAGTAGCTGGGATTACAGGCATGTGCCACCACTCATGGCTAAATTTTGTATTTTTAGTAGACATGGCATTTGACCATGTTGGCCAGGCTGGTCTCGAACTCCTGACCTCAAGTGATTCACCTACCTTTGCCTCCCAAAGTGCTGGGATTACAGGAGTGAGCCACCACCCCCGGCCCACAGTATGGTTTAAACAGAGAGGTGAGGGGGCCCTGAGGAATATTTTCTTTTCTCTTTCTTTCTTTCTTTCTTTTTTTTTTTTTTTTGAGAGTCTCGCTCTGTCTACCAGGCTGGAGTGTAGCGGTTCGATCTCAGCTCACCGCAACCTCCGCCTCCCGGGTTCAAGTGATTCTCCTGCCTCAGTCTCCCGAGTAGCTGGAATGACAGGCACCCATCACCATGCCCAGATAATTTTTGTTCAGGTACTTGGGAGGCTGACTTGGGAGAATCCCTTGAATCTGGGAGGCAGAGGCTGCAGTGAGCCGAGATCATTCCACTGCACTCCAGCCTGGGTGACAGAGTGAGACTCTGTCTCCAAACAAAACAACCAAAAATAAAAAGAGCAAGTAGAGAAGGAAGGAGTGACTGTTATGAATCATTCCCATTGCTGGTTTTTAAGGTGTTGATTATTTGTAAATGTCTTTATTTTTGAGACAATGTCTTGCTCTGTCACCCAGGCTGGAGTACAGTGACACCGTCACAGCAGCCTCCTGAGCAGCCGGGACTACAGGCGCACACTATCACTCCTGTTTTTTGTATTTTATTTTATTTTTTTTTGGTAGAGGCAGGGGTCTTGTTATGTTGCTCAGGCTGGCTTTGAACTCCTAGGCTTAAGCGATCCTCCTGCCTCAGCCTCCCAAAGTGCTGAGGTTACAGGTGTGAGCCACTGCATCGGGCCTGTATATATGCCATTTTGCCCATTTATCGGCACTTTTATTTGGGGATGAATAATAGTTTTGAACCATGAGATGGTTTGACAACTTTACATCCCTTAAAAACATTTTTTTTTTTTTGAGACACAGTCTCTCTGTCCCCAGGCTGGAGTGCAGTGGCGCGATCTTGGTTCACTGCAACCTCCACCTCCTGGGTTCAAGCGATTCTCCGGCCTCAGCCTCCTGAGTAGCTGGGACTACAGGCGCCCACCATTGTGCCTGGCTAATTTTTGTATTTTTAGTAAAGACAGGTTTCACCATGTTGGCGAGGCTGGCCTCTATCTCTTGACCTCATAATCCTCCTGCCTTGGCCTCCCAAAGTGTAAAAACGTTTTTTTTAAAAAAATCATCCTTGGTGTCGGCTGAAAAAAAAAAAAAAAACAACTAAACAATAAATGTTTTTAAAGTATTTCCATTTGTTTTTATTAAAAAAAATTTGAATTAATTTTAAGATAGCCAAGGTTTTTCTTTGCATTTGGCAGTGGGTTTTTTAAACTTTAAATTTCAAAATCATGTGGGGTTTCCAAGTGAATTGCCTGAAAACAGCTTGGTTGCAATAATGATTTCCACACATTGGTTTGTGAACTAATACAGCTTTTGCACCCTGGCTGGTTTCTTTTTACAAATTTACACTCACTTGAAAGCAATTTCGACCCGTTTGTCGCGTATTTTGTTTTTAAAAATTCTTGAATTCCTTTTCTTTCACAGATACCGACTTCATTACTCATCTGCTCCCGCAAGCCGTCAAAGGCCCAACAGCGACTGGATTTCACTGGTTTCTCCCCACAACTTTCCCTGCTTCTAAGTATTTTCTACTTTTACAGATAAGGACAATTGGGGCAAAAACTCATCAAGGTTATAGACTGGTACCAGCTCTGTTCATAAGTCTGCCATCTCCCATCAGTTTCTTTAACCAGGATACAGTCCTTCATACTTTCATTGCTGTATTATATTTTATTTTCTTTTTCTGAGATGGAGTCTTGCTCTATCCCCCAGGCTGCAGTGCAGTGGCGCCATCTCAGCTCAGTTGCAACCTCAGCTTCCTGGGTTCAAGCAATTCTCCTGTCTCAGCCTCCTGAGTAGCTGAGCAGGCAGGTGTGCACCACCATGCCCAGCTAATTTTTGTATTTTTAGTAGAGACGGGGTTTCACCACGTTGGCCAGGATGGTCTCGAACTCTTGATCTCATGATCCGCCTGTCTTGGCCTCCCAAAGTGCTGGGATTACAGAAGTCAGCCTCTGCGCCTGGCCACTTTCATTGCTTTTATTATTTTTATTTTTATTTATTTATTTATTTTGCCCTGCCCCCCTTTCATTGCTTTGTAATCATTATTTTTGAATGTAAGTGGCTTGGATAAAACCATCTTTAGAAAGAAAAAATGCAGGCCAGGAGTGGTGGCTCACACCTGTAATCCCAGTACTTTGGGAGGCTGAGGTGGGAGGATCTCTTGAGCCCGGGAGTTTGAGACAAGCCTGGGCAACCTAGTGAGACCCCATCTCGACACAAATAATTCATAATAACAATAAAAAGTAGCCAGGTGTGATGCACATGCCTGTAGCCCACCTACTCAGGAGGCTGAGGCAGGAGGATCATTTAAAGCCAAGGTTCAAGAACAGCCTGGGCAACAGAGCAAGATCCCCCTCTTAAAAAAATTTTTTTTTTGAGGCAGCGTCTCTTCTCTGTTGCCAGGCTGGAGTGCAGTGGCGAAATCTCGGCTAACTGCAACCTCCGCCTCTCAGGTTCAAGGGATCATCCTGCCTCAGCCTACCTAGTAGCTGAGATTACAGGCACATGCCACCATGCCTGGCTAATTTTTGTACTTTTAGTAGAGAAGGGGTTTCACCATGTTGGCCAGGCTGGGCTCGAACGCCTGACCTTGTGATCCACCCAACTCAGTCTCCCAAAGCGCTGGGATTACAGGAGTGAGCCACAGTACCCGGCTGTTTTTTCTTTTCTTTTTCCAACGACAAACAAAAAGAAAGAAGAAATACCAAGCTCCAATAAGTATACAGGCATATTCTTTTTGTGTAGTTTTTGGCAAAAAAAAAAGAAAAAACAAGTGAAGATTTGAAACAAGACGAAGATTTAACTTAGGAACATGGAATAAAGAAGATTTTGGTCCTTATAATTTCTCTGTGGTTTTGCCTCCAGCAACCCAGGCATGACGGGACCTGCACAGGGCGAGCTCCTGGGGGTGGCGTGACGTTGCTGTTACTGGGAAACCGACCTCGCAGGCCCGGGGGACAAGCGACTCACTGGGAACTCTCCACCCACTCGCGCGGGGTGCCAGGGCGCGCCCCGGTGTCTGCTGCCCCCGCGCGGCCGTGCTGCAGTCCTGCGCCCTCAGGGGGCACCAGAGAGCCGATGGGCACCCGGGCTGCTTCCTGCTTGTCTTCTGACCCTGGGTCCTGGGGCGGAGAAGGGCAGAGGTCGGTGAATGGCGCCCCCTGGCGTTGTGCAAGGCAGAGGCTACTGATAACTGGGGTTTCTGGCCTGCCTGCTACCCTGCAAAGTGAAACTCCAAGGCCACAGAGAGCAGTAGTGCACGGATGGCCTTGAACCTGGTGCTGAGTAAGAAAGAGAAGGGCGCGGGCGGGCGGGAAGCTTTGGACCGAGGGTTCAAGGCTCCCAGTTGATTGATCTACATTGGAGGCTCCTCCCACAGGCGGTCCTGCTGCCTTCAGGTGCAACCTGGTGGGTAGGGCCATTATTCATTTCTTTCTTTTTCTTGGACAGGATCCTACTTTGACACCCAGGCTGGAGTGCAGTGGCGCAATCACGGCTCACTGCACACTCAACCTCATGGGTTCAAGCGATCCTTCTGCCTCAGCCTCCCGAGTAGCCAGGACTACAGGCATGTGCCACCATGTCCGGCTAATTTTTGAATTTTTTTGTAAAGATGGGGTCTTATTATATTGCCCAGGCTTCCTCTCTCCTCAAACCTACTCCTCTCTTCCCCGCCCCCACTTGGTGGGCAGCCCTACCATCTGCCCTTCACTTGAGTCTTCTGATGGGGGGCGGTATCGCTGGCCCCTGTCTCACTTTACGTCTTTTCCTGTTCATTCCTCTGTTGGGATGCAAATCTCTATGCGTCCTTCATGTTTCTGTATGTCTTGTGAGTGAGGCACTAATGGATGGCCTTTTGCCCTGGACTTTCTTTTCCAGGCTGTCTGTGTATCAGACAATCTTGAAAGATATAGCATCTCCATCTGGAGCAAAAGGCAGCCCTGCTTACTGCTCATTAGAAAAGATTCGGGTTTCCTGGCCAGGCGTGGTGACTCATGCCTGTAATCCATCGCAAAAAAAAAAAAAAAAGAAAGAAAGAAAAAAAGGCCGATGCAGTGGGCTCACACCTGTAATCTCAGCACTTTGGGAGGCTGAGGCAGGTGAATTACCTGAGGTCAGGAGTTCAAAACCAGCCTGGCCAACATGGAAAAATCCCCTCTCTACTAAAAATACAAAAAAATTAGCTGGGCATGGTGGTAGGTGCCTATCATCCCAGCTACTTGGGAGGCTGAGGCAGGAGAATCACTTGAACCTGGGAGGTGGAGGTTGTGGTGAGCCAAGATTGCACCACTGCGCTGGGTGACAGAGCAAGGCTACATCTGAAAAGAAAAGCAAAGAGAAAAGAAAATAAAAGATTTGGGTTCCCTAAGCTCAGACGTCCTCTTCCTCTCTTGTAACACACCCACCTGGGGTGCTGCAGGCATCATCGGGCCTTGTCACATCACTCTATGGGATTTGGGGCTCAGGGAATGAATGCGAAATGCTTATACTCTGGTTCACTGCTATTGCCGTGAGTAACATTGTCTCTGCTCTCTGTCCCGGGAGTCTCGTGTCGTCTTGTGGCAGCCATGGAGCTCGGCTGGATAACTTGTTAGCATGCAAGTGGGCAATGTCTCAGATCATCACGGGTCTTGACATCCTCCAATTCTATCTGTTGTACTGGTTACAGATTTCTGGCATCTGTTGTCTCCATTCCCAGGGCCTCAGCCCTGGTCAAGGCTCCATCATCACATGCCTGGGGTGTTTTTGTTCTGGATCCTGGGGATCGGCTCTAGTTGCCTGAGCTCAAACGCTGCTCATGAACACATCTGTCCTTGCCTCACTTTCTCTCTTCCCTATGGATGCTTGCAGGGCCCATGCCCCATATAAACTCCTTGGACTTCAATTTTTTTTCTTTATTTAGAGATAGGATCTTGCTCTGTCACCCAGGCTGGAGTGATCCTGGCTCACTGCAGCCTCTCTCTTCTGGGCTCAAGTGATTCTCCCACCTTAGCCTCCTGAGTAGCTGGGACTTCAGGGGCGCACCACCACAGCTGGCTATTTCTTTCCCTTTTTTTTTTTTTTTTGGTTTGTAGAGATAGGGTCTTGCTATGTTGCCCATGCTGGTCTGAAACTCCTGGCCTCAAGTGATCCTTCTACCTTGGCCTCCCAAAGCCTTGGGATTACAGACATGAACTCATTCCTAGGTGGCACTTGAATTCCCGTTCCAAGATCTGGAGAAATCTGACCCAAAGAAAGCTTTGCTCAAAGACCTTCTTGGCCGTGTTGGGGTCAGACTTGGACTGAGGTTTCTGAGGAAGCAGTAGAGTGGCCGGAGCCAGGTAAATGAGGTGGGGGTGGTCTCTTGTGGCAACTGGGTCACCATAGTAACTTGGCCCCCACCCTGTGGCATCTGTGAGGTCATCCTGCTTCTCCCATCTGGAGGAGGAGGGGGAGGCCAGACATGGAGACCATTCCTCCGGTCAGATCCAGCCTTTTGGGGATTCTCTTGCAGGCCGTGAGGCTCTCAGTACTGGTGAGTGGGGGGTAGGGGTAAATGGGGTGGAGACCACACACCAGGCCCTTTACAAAGCCACCTCAGAGCTGCCGGACCCAAGCCCTGCCTGTCCTGTTCAGTGGAACTAGGTGGGCTGCCTGCCTTCCAGAATAATCTGACAGCTCCCAGAAACCCCACCCCAAGCTTCAGTGCTGAAATTTTCTTTTCTTTTATTTATTTGGAGACAGCGTCTTGCTGTGTGACCCAGGCTGGATGCAGTGGTGCCATCTCAGCTCACTACAGCCTCCAACTCCCGGGCTCAAGTATTCCTCCCCACTCAGCCTCCAAGTAGCTGGGACTATAGGTGTGCCTTACCACGCCTGACTAATTTTTGTATTTTGTAGAGACAGTGTCTCACTATGATGCCCAGGCTGGTCTCCAACTCCTGGCCTCACATGATCCTCCCACCTCAGCTCCCCAAGGTGTTGGGTTATAGGCGTGAGCCACTGCATCTGGTGGAATTTTCTCTGTTGAGGGTCACTCCTATGGGTGATTCATTGTTTTTCTCATTTTTTTTTTTTTTTTTTTTTTTGAGATGGAGTCTCACTCTGTTGCCCAGGCTGGAGTGCAGTGGTGCGATCTCAGCTCACTGCAGCCTCCGCCTCCTGGGTTCAAGTGACTGTCCTGCCTCAGCCTCCTGAGTAGCTGGGATTATAGGCACCATCATGACCGGCTAGTTATTTTTGTTTGTTTTGAGATGGAGTCTTGTTGTGTGTTCTGTCACCCAGGCTGGAGTGCAGTGGTGCCATCTCGGCTTACTGAAACCTCCGCCTCCTGGATTCAAGCAATTTTCTGCCTCAGCCTCCCGAGTAGCTAGGATTACGGGTGTCTGCCACCACACCTGGCTAATCTTTGTATTTCTAGTAGAGATGGGGGTTTCACCATCTTGGCCAGGGTGGTCTTGAATTCCTGACCTTGTGATCCACCTGCCTTGGCCTCCTAAAGTGCTAAGATTAGAGGCATGAGCCACTGTGCCCGGCCAAGATCCTGTTTCTTAAAAAAAGAAAAATCCAATGGAAGGGAATCCAAATATAATAGGAAACACCTTCTAAAACTCCCCCTCAGAATGGGGTCCTTAAAAGTGGGCAGAGTTCATCCTCGCACATGGAGGGAGCTGAGGCCTTGGGGTGGAGATCTGGCTCAAGGTGGTCCAGCAGCTTCACCTCTGCTGTGAAAGTGGGGCTCCTGGCCCGGCGCGGTGGCTCACGCCTGTAATCCCAGCATTTTGGGAGCCTGATGCGGGCAAATCACCTGAGGTCAGGAGTTTGAACGAGACTGGCCAACATGGAGAAAACCTTTCTCTACTAAAACTGCAAAAAGAGTTATCCGGGCATGGTGGCAGGTGCTTGTAATCCCAGCTACTTGGGAGGCTGAGGCAAGAAAATTGCTTAAACCCGGGAGTTGGAGGTTGCAGTGGGCTGAGATGGCGCCATTGCACTCCAGCCTGAGTGAAAGAGCGAAACTCCATCTTGGGAAAAAAAAAAAAAAAAAAAGAATTATTGAAAAAAAAAAGTGGGGTCCCTGCCCCAGGAGGGTGATGATGGCTGACGACTCTCTCTCTCTCTTCTCCTGCAGCTGGTTCAGAACCGAGATCACCTCTACAATTTCCTGCTCCTCAAGATCAACCTCTTCAACCACTGGGTGTCGGGGCTGGCCCAGGAGGCAGGGGGGACCTGTAACCGGCAGGCCCACCTACCCCTGGGAGTTGCAGCCTGCCCCCTGGGCCAGGCTCTCCAGGCTGGGCTGGCTCTGACACAGGTCCCTGTCTGGCTGGTACTGCAGGGACCCAGGCTGATGTGGGCTGGCATTCGGGGTGGCACCAGGGCCCTGGGCCTGGCCTTGCTGGGTGCCTGGGAGGGGCTGGGCCTGTCTGTGGCCATCTGGACGGACCTGCTTTCGTTGTGTCTGCGTGGCCTGATGCTGGTGGCCTTGCTGCTGGTGGTAGTCACTTGGAGGGTGTGTCAGAAGGCCTGCTGCTCCCAACTGGGCTGGCAGCTCAGTAAGGTGGGTGGTCTAGGGGTGCGGCTGGGCTGTGGAGGGGAGGCCTGGGGTGCTGGGTGTGGCCAGGGCTGGCTGGGCTGGGGGGCAGGCAGAGCCAAGCAGTTTGAGCCCATAGGCTGGTAAGGGCCATCTGTCCACCTGTCTCCCTGTTCCAGGCCTTGCAAGTGAACTGGCTGGTGAGGGAGCTCCTGGCGCAGCTGAGACGCCTGTATTGGTGGGTGGAGACTATGACTGCGCTCGCCTCCTGGCACCTGGCCTATCTCATCACCTGGACCACCTGCCTGGCCTCCCACCTGCTGCAGGCTGCCTTTGAGCACACCACCCAGCTGGCCCAGGCCCAGGAGGTTGAACCCCAGGAGGCCTCGGAGTCTTCCTTGCTGCCTTCACTGTCTGGGTCCTTGGCCTCAGAGTCTGGACCAGTTTTGCCAGAGCAAGGAACTCCCAGAGAATAAATGTATCCCCAGCTGCCTCTCCCGGTCTGGCCTGGCCTACGGTCTCACTCCCTCCTCCCTAATGGGCTGGAGACGCGTTGCGTGAGTGATGTGCACGTGTGTGCGTGCATGTGAGCCCAGGGCCGTCCTCTGGGAAGGAAATCACATTCTGTCAGCATCTTCTATGGGCCAGATATCAACCATCTCAGACAATTTACTCATAATTTGGTTTAAATCTCCTAGCAACATGGCATCAGGTTTGACCAGCACCATTTACAGCCGAGAAAATTGAGCCTCCGAAGGTTGAACTTTCCCAAGGTCACAGTCTGTTGAGGGTGGAGCCAGGACTGGCTCGCTAGATTTTTTGTTTCTCAGAATCCTTAGCTTTCTCTAGGTGCTTGCCCGTGGTTCTCAGAAGTATTGGTGCCCAGGGCTTTAGGAGAGATGGGCAGTT